CAGCTACAGCTATGGCGCCCAGCGCCGAAGACTACAGCTAGCGCTAATACCACCTAGCGCTGAAGACTACTGCAGCGCTCCTCCTGAGTGCTGCAGCCGAAATCCTGAAGACTACCTCGTGCCTACTGAACTACCTACCCGTGAAGTGCATGGGAACTTCCTATGTACTACCGGGTGTGCCTCCTGAGCCTGCTGAAGGGAGGCAGGGGCTGCAGCTGCAGCTCCTGCTCAAACTCGTGAGGAACAGGCTATTCTTGGCCTGTTCCGCATCCCTGTTTACGTGCCTGAGTCTTAGGGGCAGGTCAAAACAATGAGGGCCTGAAAATGGCACTCCGTTTCAGGCTGAAAACTCTGGGTCTGAAAAGACCCAGAAATAGGCTGAACGGGGTAGGGCCTGCAGGCCCTCGTTTTTCAGCTTTCAGGCTGAAACGACCGGGGCCTGTAAGCCCTAAGTTTTAGGCTTTTAGGCTGAATGTCCGGGACGGGCCCTGCAGGGCCCGTGTGGCTACGCAGTATGCCACACCCCCCCCTCCTTGAAGAACCGAGCTTACCTGCGAGGGCGAAGCTGTCTGTCTGAGGGAGGGACCACAGTCCGGGTGGGAGGGGCTGGTCGTGAAGCTTCCTGAGCTAACCTCCACTTTTCATAATGCGCGTAGATCAGCGGTGCAGATGCTTTCAAATCTGCGCCTGAAATCCACCGAGCGTCGTCGCAATCGCATGCTTTGAATGTGACTTTGTACTGCCGCGGCTTGCTGCCGTACTTGCGATCGGAGATGACGCGGTCAACTTCCTGATGGCCATCCATAGAAGGAGGGTCCTGCGATCGTCGGTCCGGAAAGTCGTCGCTCTTGGCTGGCGTGTATGTTGCCAGCTTCGAGGCGTGGAAGACCGGATGGACCGTCACAGATGCTTTGGAATGTTGATCACAAATGAAGGGCCATCAGGCTCATCGCCCGCGGCTGCTGTCACAGACCAGGGTCCAAACCACTTGGGAAGCAGTTTGCGTGAAACATCCTGTTCCAGTGCAAACTCTTGTGCAGAGACCCAAACCAGATCACCGGCGCGGATGGGACATGGTACGCGACGCCTGTTGGCTTGCTGCTGCATGCGGACTTGAGCCTTTTGCATATTTGCGCGGGCTTGAGTTAGCAATTCCCTGTACTTCCAGACGGAAGCGGGAGAGCAGGCAGCGTCAATGTCGGCTGGTTGAGGGAGGAGAAGGTCGGCCAAGATCCGGCCTTTCCGTCCACCGTGGTGCAATTCGAATGGAGTCACGCCGATGGCCGGATGCACCGAAGTGTTGTAGGCAAACTCGATGTCGGGGAGGCGGTCAACCCAATCTTTCTGGTCCGGACGGATGAGCGTACGAAGCATCATTTGAGCGGTTTGATGTGCTTGCTCCGTCTGCCCGTCTATCTGAGGATGTCGAGCCGAACTTGGTTTCATTGTTGTGCCGGACTCTTGCATGAGAGCAGTCCAAGACGCCGACATGAAACGAGTGTCGCGGTCGCTGACAATGTCTTCTGGTACACCGTGGCCACAAATCCAACCAGTGTGCAGGAGGCGTGCTAGCTCGGGGGCCGTGGAGTAGTACTTGCAAGGTAGAAAACGTGCGTACTTACTCAATCGGTCCACAACCGTGAGGATGCCGTCGTGCCCGAGCCGGTCGAGAGGAAACGGACCGGTGACGTCCATGGCAATGGAGAGACCGGGTTCCCGTGGGATAGGCATCGGGTGTAMCTCGCCGTAGGGATTGCGGTTGCCAGGCTTGTTGCGTCGGCAAACTTCGCAAGAGTCGAAATACTGAGTGACGTCGGTAATGAGGTCGGGCCATCGGAATCGCTGTCGAAGCCGTGCAATAGTGTGGTTGACTCCGAAATGGCCGGCGAGTCGTGAATCATGATACTCGCTGAGGAGGCGAGTCCGAAGACGACGGTCACGTGGGACACATAGTAAGTCCTTGCCTCTCGAGTGAAGGAGCAAGTACCCGTCGGCAATGCGGTAATGGCTGGCCGGCGGGTGATCCGAAGATAGCTGTGCATAGAGCGTGCCGAAGTCTGGATCAGAATGATATGCCCGGATGAAGTGTCGCTGAAGCTCCTCGTCAAATGCGAAGGCATGATGTGTCATAGCGCAAAGATCAGGTCTTCGCGAGAGTGCATCTGCTGCGCGATTGGAGAGGTCGGGGACATGTTTCGGTGTGAAGTCAAATTGGTCGATGAAGTACATCCATCGTCCGATCGTGCTGCTCACCGTGTCCTGCGTCTTATAGTAGGTCAATGGATTGTTGTCTGTGACCC